CATGTCAGTGTGTAGGCCCCAACTAGTCCCAAATTAATCCCTCCCTTTCCCTCCCCATCCCGCTAACCTTTTAAGTGAGTTCCCTTTCCCAAGCAAACTCTTCTCTGTCTTTTTACAGTAAGGGGCTCATACAGTACTTGTCCTTCTGCGATTGACTTATTTCACTCAGCATAATGTCCTCCAGATACATCCATGTTGTGAAATGATTCGCATATCCTTCATTGTTCTTTAAACAACACATATTTTTAGAGGATACAATTCAATCCATAACAGCATTCATCACCTGAAATTCTTTTCTTGTGGCACAGTGATTAAACTGCTTGACTGCTAACCAAAAGGTCGTGGTTGAAACCTGCTAGCCACTCCCCAGAAGAAAGGCATAGCAGTCTGCTTCTATAAAGATTTACAGCCTTAAATCTATGTGGCAGTTCTATTCTGCCCTATAGGATTGTTATGAGTTGGAATCGACTCAATGTCAATAGGTTTTTTTTTTTTTTTAATAGAACACAGGTTAATAACAGATTGATCTATCTGACAACAATAAGCAAATAACACTTGTGTCGACAAAATTAATCTCAGTGTGACAAATATTCATTTAACAGCCATTTAGGGATTATTAGCACAACCCAGAATATTTAAGTCATCTACCATAGGTCATGGAGTCACCAGGTGGTGCCAATGATTTATGTTCTTGGCTGCTAACTGAAAAGTTGGAGGTTCAAATCCATCCAAAGGAGCTTGGATGAAAGGCCTGGTGATTGACTTCTGAAAAGTCAGCCACATGGAGCACAGTTCTACTCTGACACACATGGGGTTGCCATGAGTCAAAGTTGACTCCACAGCAACCTGTTTACCATAGGCCATAAGGGCAAACAAAAGAGATAGAGATTAATATTACTTAGCCAGTTGATGCTACATCTGTTTCCTCATTCCTTGCTAGAGTTGCTGGTTTGCTCAAGGGGTAGTCACCTCCAGAGCCTCACAACCCATGGGATTGGTCCAGTGTCAGAAAATCCCCTTTCCTATGGGGAAGGAAAACCAGGACACTCTTGAAGGTTGGCAAATAGAGATGCTATCATTTGGCACTCCTTCTAGAAGTTTCTTTCTTTCTGGGTCTTTGATGCCCACATTGAACCTGCCTCCTGGGGACTGTCCAGGAGCTTTGCACCTCACCATCATGGGAGACCAACATCTCTGAAGCTGAACTCTGCTCTCAGGTGGCTTAGGCTGGTTCTAAGAGACGTATAAGAGGCTTAACTAGAGACTACCTTCTCTAGTTAAGCCTCTTATACTCTGCTTGCTCATCTCTGCCATCAGTAGTCATCAAAGTTTCCCTATTTGATGGTAAATATCATATATGTCCTTTTTTGATAGAATTTTATATTGTTTGAGACTGTCATGGGTGAGAAAAAGGATAAAGCTTTGATGGTATTCCTTCTCTGAGAACGAAAATTGTTTCCTAAATTCATCTTTTATGTGCTCTTTATTCTTTAGGAACATGACTATTCCACACTTTTTGCTTTTTGCAATGTCATACAAGTTCTATGTTGAGTATCTGTGCTATGACAACATGGAGAACATTTAAATTTTTCAGTAGCTGATGGAGTTTCTCAAGGAGGAACACACACATTTGTTGGGAAAATGCCTTGATGAGCTTCTAGAAAGTAAGCTGAAAAGTATGCCAAATAAACAAAAATGATCATTAGCCTGTCTTTTAAGCTGGGGGCTTGGTAAACTGCTGTCTACTGTGTTTTCTGAACACTGGTATGCTGTGTGGGGAGAGAAGTTGGGGACTAACTGAAGCCCTTGGCATGACAGAGAAGAGTGGCATGGGGGGATGGCAGGTGATCACATGGGGGGAGGACAGTGTGGAGGGAGGCACTAGATAAACATTAAATGAAGGGGGCAGGGCAAGAAAGGTGCTGAGGGCTGTGTGAAGAGGGGGTGGGTTGAGGTCTTCCTCTTCATTTCCTACAAACTTGTGAATAAAGTCTACATTTGCACTAATGGTTTTATGAAAATTGTGTTTTTTCTGAGGGGTACAAATAAAACTTCAAGATGACAGTGGCTGTTTTGGCTACTTTAAAAAAAGAGAAGTGTATTGTGATTTAGGTGAAAGTTTATAGAGCAAATTCATTTTCCATAAAGCAGTTCATACACATTTTGTTTCATGACATTGACTGCAATTCCCCACAGTGCAACAGCTCTCTTCCTATTTCCTCTCTGTAGTTACCTATTCCCTGTGTCCTTCTCCCTCAAGCACTCCTGCCCCACTCCAGCTGTATCCCTGTGCAAACACTGCCCTCTGTTCTCCCACGGTTGATCACTCCAAGGAGTGTATCTACCTGATGTAAATGTTCACCCCATATGCCTGTCTGTTGTTTGGCTGGATGCCACTGGAGTGAGGTCTGTTCCAGACCTGAGGGGTAATTAGGGGCCATAGTCTCAGGGCTCACACCAGATTCTGTCAGACCAGCAAACCTGGCTTTTTTTTTTTTTTTTTTAATGATTTTGAGATTTGAGTTTTGTTCCACATTGTTCTCCCAGTATAGAGTGGGAGAACTGATTCCCCTCCAAGTGGTTGACAACAGTAGCCGGGAACCATCTAGTTCTTCTGATCTCATGGTCATATAGACTGAGGATCACATGGTCTACTAGTCCCTTGGACTAATTCTTTCCATGTGTCTTTGGTTTTCTTCACTCTTCTTTGCTCTGGATGAGGACAGACCCATTGTTACATTTAGATGGCCGCTTGCAAGCTTTTAAGACCCCAGGCACTACTCACCAAAGCAGAATGTAGAACAATGTTTTTGTGTAGTATGTTATGTATTTTGGCTGCATCTTTACCTCCATAAACTGCCCAAAGCTCTCCAAGTTCTCACTGATTTTTTTTTCCTTAACTTTGCCATCCAAACAACAGCTGAGCTTAACAGAGCTTTTTTTCCCCTTCTCTTCCCTGTGACAGACGTTTCCTTTATTCTGTTTCTCTCTTTCATGAGTGACAAAGACAGTCCTTTCCATATTTCTTCCTTAGACACTTTCTCAAGTGCAATGAACAACAAAGCCTGGAGTGGGCTCTGAGGTTGGCAACACCTGTGGGCTTCCATTGGTTTCATGACTGATGTCTGCCATAGTCCAGGATGTCTTCCCTGGATCCCCATCTGTCATGCTCTCCACTGGGAGCCAACTATGTGCAACTTTTAATTGCCATTATTTCTCCCACAGAGCCTGCAGCTATTTCCCCTCCAGTGTGTTCTTCCTGGGCCAGTAAAAGGCACTGCATACTCATCCTGTTTGCATTCCTATCATGCAGGCAGCATGATCTATCCTTTCTGTCCCCTTTGGAAAGTCAGCCTCAAGTTCTTCATCTAGACTGGGCATTCCTATCACAGTCCATATGAGTTTATTGAGTTTTACAAATGGTTCCTCTGATTTTTCCATTTGGTTTCTTTCTATCATTTATGTCCAAACTAAAGAACCAGTTGCTGTCAAGTAGACTCCCATTTACAGTGACCCCATATGTGTCATAGTAAAACTGTATTCCATAGATTTTTCAATGGCTGAAATATAGGAAATAGATCACCAGGCCTTTTGTCTGAGGCACTCTATGTGGACATGAGCCCCCAAACTTTTGGTTATTAGCTGAGCGCTTAACTATCTGTACCCCCAGCTTGTACTCCCAACTTGTACTCTCAACTTGGGAGCTATTTTGCTACCAAAACCAGTCCTCTGCCATGGACCTGGGACACTGGGCCCTAACTTCTCTCTCCCTAGTGTCTCCCACATTGTGTCTCTAAGTTATGCTAATTCTTCAGATGCACCTGCCTCTCACATTTGACCTTTGTTCTCTGCTTCCCATCACATGCTGTCTCTGCTTCCACTCCTCTGTCCAAATTACACCAGCAGCTTCAACTGCTGCCTCACCTCCTTCAACTCTATCTATTACTGACAGGCTAGTTCACCTCAAACTCCTGCCACTTGGCTTCACCTTCACACTTAATCATTTTTATGATCTGTACTTGTATACTCAAGGTGCAGATTATTAGCAGTAGCAGCCCCTTCCATGCTGCTCAAAGGCAAGAGCTTGTGCCATCATTCTAGCACAAGGGGTGGTCTTTGTGATGGAAGCCTCCAGGAGGGACTGTCAACAGAAGATTTAGCTATTGCCCACTTCCCTATGGATTCTTTTTTGAATCCCAGCTGCCTGGGCAAGACTTCCTGGTTTTGTGCCCTGAAGATCATAAGACACACCAGACTTGCGAGTACTGGTGCCAGGCTCATGATCGGGTTCCAACCCTATTGCTGTCAATGAACTCAAACTGCAATTCCCATGCCACATGCATTTCCTGCCTCCTCCTTACCGCTAAGTTGTTGTTGTTATGTGCCGTCGAGTCAGCCCTGACTCATCGTGACCCCTCCTTGGGTTTCTGAGATTGCCTAACCTTTCTTCTGATTACCTCTAAGTGATATATGAATAATAGGTGGCTACATGTTGCTTCAGGATGAAGAGATCTACTCTCATCAGTGCAATGACATGGTGAGAGGTGGCTGGCACTTTATCTCACTTTCCCCAAAGGAACATTGACTAACAGTGTATAGTTCAATGCTTCACTCTCAACAGTGCCCTTGTCACAATATTGGATGTTGTCTAACCCTAAAGTCACTGTATTGGGCAGGAAAACTGTGTTTGATCTCATTGTTAAACCCTCTTTTCTCACCTCTTGGCATGACAACAGAGCTAAATAGATTTGAGATGAGTATGAGCCTATTTCTGGCAACTCCTTAAGGAACTGGTGCACACTGTGTGTTTTGTATCATTTGAGTCCTCAGGCACACTCAGAGCCCTAAAGCAAACACCCATTTGTAAATGTTATAGCTGCCAAGGTGGGTCAAATGTTCTGTTGGGTGACATATTAACTCTTACAACATTGCTTTGGAATGGGAGGAATGTGTTAAGCTGGGTTTTGGTCAGCGGGTAAGGTTGCCTTAGGAATTCTTACCTTCACCCTGTCCATGCAGGCTTCCATCTTCAGCTGCTCCACTGCTTTCCTGGCCTGGGAGATACTGGTGGTGCTGTTATTGGACATGCCTTCTTTCATTCTCCTGCCCCTGAAAGCAACCAGAGTTACAGTGTTGGAAGGCTGCTTTTCCAAAGATAAGGTAAGTCCAAGTTAGGGAGCACTTGAGAACATAGGCAGCACTTGGCAACAAATTCTCTTGTGCTAAGAGAAAGCCACAACAATAGATTCAAGAATACCAAAGATCATGGAGATGGCACAGGGCCAGGCAACATCTGTTCTGTTGTTCATGAGGTCACCATGAGTCAGAGGTGACTCAATGGCAACCAGCAACAACAAACTGAAAGGAACACTTCATTAGTTTTATGGAAGCAGGATATTTATGCTTTGGTTTGAAGAGTTGATCAGAGCTGGGAGAGTCTGATGTAAGTTGATGTAAGCTTGAGAGAGTGAGTAGAAGATGATGGCACCAGAGTTACTTTACTAGCTGCCCCCCACCCCATGACCATAAGGAATACTTTGACATTTGTTAGTGATAAATCATTTTCATACACATTTGCTCATTCATTCCATATTATAGCAGCCCATGAAGCAAGCATAACAAAATTAATGTTTACTTTATAAAATCAGATAAATTAAGACAATAACCAAACATCCCATAGACAAAATTTGTGGGTTCAAAAGTCAAACTCAAACCTTTGAAGCCTAGCTAAGTGTTCTTTCCAGTGTCTTACACAGCCTCTCTTAGCTTTCTTAGAGCTCTACGGCTCTCAGGATACATTGCTGATGAATAAAAGTGCTTTATTATGAATTTAATTTGCTGTCATTCCAAAACAGTTACTTACTTTATGTTGGGAGTTTGCTTTTTTAAACAATATTATACACACACACACACACACACACACATTACAAGCATAGATCTACTTTTTGGGAAGGGGGAAGAAATTTTCCTTAACCTGAAATGTAATGATGCCACATGACTAACAAAAGACCTCTGCACTGCCAATTGTCCCACAATGAAGCATATGCTGGAGAGTACACTTACCCTATCAAATGAGAAAATATTTGGATGAGGTCTAATATTACACTCTGAGAGCTGGGGATGGGTAAGCAGAACCCTAAATGACAAAGGCTTTCATTGGTGCAAAATGAGGCACAAGGAGGCCTCAGCCAGTACCCTGGCCACTCTCTGTGTGTGAGATTTTCATAGATGAGCTGCCTAGACCAGATAGGCCATTATGGGAACTTCACTTTCCCACAGGCAATTTTAAGAAATAAAAATTCTTATTATAAAAAATGGATCAGTCTTCTAAATCAGAATTTTACAGTATGTTTCTATCTTGGTTGGGATATTCTACTCAACAAACAGGAGAGAAAGAGAAACATAAGTAGTTGGGGACTTTGAGACTCAGGGCATATGTTCTTAATACCCATTATAAAGAGATGTGCTTGCAGTCCTGCATGATCTTTGGACTCAAAGGAGTCCTGGTGTATGCCCTGTGCCTGTGGGCCCATGCCCTGTGCCTGTGTGTGTATGTGTGTGTGTGTGTGTGTGTGTGTGAGATCCTCTGTTGGATGTGCATGTTATATGTGTCTGGGTCCCAGTGTATCCACACAAAATGCAGGGCAGAGCACAATCTAGTTTCCAACTGTTCCTGGCCTGAAGCAAGTAAAAGAGCCCTGAAATCACTGCCCTCCAATCCTGATCCAATGCCCTCCCCATTCCAGAATCCATCTGTCTTTTTCCTCACCATTGACTTGGGGCTTTTAGGAATGGGGGAAGTCAAAGGGAAGAGAGATGGCTGAGGAGAAGGAGGCAGAAAGTGGCATTATCAGGTGCTAAGAAAGAAGGCATGGGGGTGGGGAAGAGCAAAGGGAGGAGGTGAGGCATTGTAACTGTGTGTTGAGTGTCAGTGAGTGCCAGTGTGTGTAAGGCTGTATGTGTGGGAAGTGAGTGTGTATGTGTGTAAGGCTGTGAGTGTGTGTATGAGTGTGTGTACAGCTGTATGTGACTGTAAGTTTGTGCCAAAGTGTGTGTAAGGCTACATGTGAGTATGTGAGTGCATGAATGAAGCTGGTGTGAGTATGAGTATGAGTGTGTATATGATTGTAAATATACAGATATTGTTAGCAGAACCGGAACCTCTTCAGATCCCCACTCCCTCCCTCTGGTTCTAGGACTGGCTTTACTTAAAATGCCCTGTCCTACTCAGCTCTTTCCTCACTCTACTTCTTTTCACAAAGAAAAGCCTACTGTCAACATACTCCATTACACAGAAGGAGAACTCTGAATGCTTAAGGAAGATTGTACCAAGAAAGATCGCACTGAGCAATATCTTCCTTTTGTGTCTAGGAGACAAAGTAAGCTGGTGGCAGGATAGAACCCCACCTTCTGGGTGGCTCTAGTAGCAGGAATGCAGAACATCTTCCTGCACTGACCCCAATTCATCTCATGTTCTCTCTGTTCAGTTCTCCCATATCTTCAGTTCTACTACCTGTGCCCATACCCCAACCACTTCTACCACCACAGTCAAGCCCCAACCTGGACCTGGTCCACTGCTAGAGGGCTGCCCACTTGGACTCCACATCATGCTGCTGGCCATAGCTTCTGATGCTTCTCTCATTCCCTTATACCTTCTCTTCAACCTCAAAGCACCACCCCCTCCAAGCTGTCTTTTAATTTATTTATTTATTTATTTCCACAGTGTTCACTCGCCAAGCTGTCTCTTAAACAATCTGCCTCCCCTAGCTCTGATGGGTTCCATATGCAGCCTAAACAACACAATCCAGGATTGGCATCACTCTTTCCCAAGAGTGCTCTACTTTCCTTGTCTGTCTCTCTCTCCCTACACTGTATCATCCCATTTCCCAATAACACCAATGCCTCTGGGCTCTTTCTCCTTGGCATATAAAAATATATTTCTATCTTTTCCATCTGACCATCTTAAGACAGAAACCAGCAATACTCTACAAAGAAAACTATAAAAAGCTACTTCAAGAAACCATAAAAGACCTAAATAAATGGAAAAACATCCCATGCTCATGGATAGGAAGACTGAACATTGTGAAAATGTCAGTTCTACCCAAAGCAATCTATACATTCAATGCAATCCCAATCCAGATCCCATCAACATTCTTTAGGGATATGGAAAAAATGATCACTAACTTTATATGGAAAGGAAAGAGACCTCGGATAAGCAAAGCACTACTGAAGAAGAAAAACAAAGTAGGAGGTCTCACATTGCCGGATCTCAAAACCTACTATACAGCCACAGTAGTCAAAACTGCCTGGTATTGGTTCAATGACAGATACATAGACCAATGGAATAGAATTGAGAACCCAGATATACATCCATCGACCTATAGTCAGCTGATCTTTGACAAAGGCCCCAAATCCATTAAGTGGGGAAGAGAATGTTTGTTTAATAAATGGTGCTGGCAAAACTGGAGATCCATTTGCAGAAAAATGAAACAAGATCTGTACCTCACACCACACACAAAAACGAACTCCAGATGGATCAAAGACTTAAATGTGAAACCTAGAACTATACAGTTTCTCAAGGAAAATTTAGGGTCAAACTTAAGGGCCCTAATATTTGGTATAAATAGACTACCAAGCATAATTCAAAATGCACCAACAGCAGAAGAGAAGCCAGATGATTGGGACCTTCTAAAAATTAAATGTTTATGTGCTTCCAAAGACTTCTCCAAAAGAGTCAAAAGAGAACCTACAGATTGGGAAAAAGTATTTGGTAATAACATATCTGACAAGGGACTTATCTCTAGAATTTATAGAACACTCCAACACCTCAATAACAAAAAGACAAACAATCCAATTAAAAAATGGGCAGAAGACATGAATAGACACTTCACCAAGGAGGATATTCAAGCAGCCAACAAACATATGAAGAAATGCTCACGATCATTAGCTATTAGAGAGATGCAAATCAAAACAACAATGAGATACCATCTTGCTCCAGCACTAGTAGCTAAGTTCAACAAGACAGAAAATAACAAATGCTGGCAAGGTTGTGGAGAGATTGGGACTCTCATACACTGCTGGTGGGACTGTAAAATGGTACAACCATTGTGGAAAGCAGTATGGCGATTCCTTCAAAAGTTGGAAATACAAATACCATTTGACCCAGCCATCCCATTACTAGGTATATACCCTAAAGAAGTGAGGGCCATAACAAGAACAGATATATGCACGCCGATGTTCATCGCAGCACTATTTACAATAGCCAAAACTTGGAAACAACCTAGATGTCCAACAACTGAGGAATGGATAACCAAACTTTGGTACATTCACACAATGGAATACTATGCAACGCTAAAGAATAATGTAGAATCTGCAAAACACCGCATAACGTGGATGAACTTGGAGGACATTATGCTGAGCGAAATAAGTCAGTCACAAAAGGACAAATATTGTATTAGTCCGTTATTGTGAAAGTTAAGGAAAGGTTTATATATTGGAGGACATTTTCTTTGTTGGTTACCAGGGGTGGGAGGGAAGGGGAGGGAATGCTGTTAGATAGATAGAGATAAATATTGATTTGGGTGAAGAGAAGGGCAATGTACCAAATGTGAGTGACCAATATGGCAGCATTGAGGATGAGAAAGACAGAGAGAGTTACAGGGCAGTACAAACAACAAATATGAACCCCTTTGTAAATACAATACTGAGTTGTCAATGAAAGCAAACATGGGTATAGGGACGGATAGATGGGTGAACAAGCTAAACAATTATGTATGTCTAAATGGAGAGTGTATCCAAGATCATATACAGGGTTGGCAGACAATGGGCCTCTCGAAGAGTATGAAGGGATGGACACTGGAAGGAGGTAACTATGGGGAGGAAGTGGGAGGGGAGCTGCTGCATTGTAAATTTTGGTCAATGACATGAGACAAAGTATATGTGAACTGCTGTATGAAAAGTGAATTTACTCTGTAAATCTTCACCCAAATCCTAATAAAATAAAATAAAAAGAAACCAGCAATAACAATATAGAAAACCCTTTTCTTCCAATTTCCATTTTTGCTCAAGGAGGTGATGAGGTAACTGCAGATTCTTATAA